GGCAACCCACGCCATGTCGGCCAGGCTCAAATCGAACTTGTACATACAGTGCTGTACTAGCCTGACATGCCGGAGTCTCTTTTCACAGTTGTCTGCATAGGGACAGTCATGGCCTGTGCGGTTTTCTTTCTGCGCTCGCTTCGGAGGGAGATGCATGGCATGCGAATTCAACTCAGTGCCCTTGTGGAGAGGGGGGGGCAGGACGGGCCCAAAATGCAAGCCTCGATTGCGGAGCTCCGGGGTGAAGTGCAAGACCTGCGCAAGCGGGTCATGGATGGCGCCAATAACCTCTGGCAAGGACTGGACCTCCGTCAACGTATGCAAAGCGTGGACATCATACATGACACGGTGCGAGAGCTCCAGGCAAGGCGATCAGATGTGGCCGAGATTCAACATATGGTGCATTTGCGCTCGCAACTGAACTCGACGCTGATACGGCTGGAAGAGATTGAGGGCCAGCTTCAGTCCCTGAGAGCCTCCGAGATGCTCCCAATAGTGAGACTGTCGATCCCAGAAGGGTCTGAGATGCAAGTGATTTGAGAATGTAGGTCCCGAGGTCATAAAAAATTCAATGCCTGTATGCATGATTGCTACTGCATGTATGCATGACATAGAATTTAGTGCCTGCATGCATGACATGGAATTTAAATGACACTTCGGTTTTCCACATGCATGCTCTCTCCTACCGCTTCAAGACAAGGGCAGTGACGCGCAGTAAAGGACAATGACGAGTGGAGCATCTCTTGGATTAGGAACACCAGCCCCCTGTGCCTTCTACCGTTGCCTGCAGCACTGTCCGCTCATTGCGAACATGGACACTGGGATAGGTGATTCTTTGTTGTTTGGTCTTCTGGCTCTGATTCGGAGATGCACCCCTTTTCTCTTCCTTTTCCAGGGTCGGAACACCTAGTGACCTGAAAACCCGAGGACCTGTAGCCCCAAATCCCTTGTAGCCCCCTTGGTCAATGTTTGTCCCCGGGTGCCACATTGTCCCGGTAGCTCCACAGTGCGAGGTAGGCAGGGCGTGAGTCGTGATGATGACTAGGGGTAGTGATGCCTGTTGACGAGGTGAGGGTCTGCGTTTCGTCGTCGTGACGGTGTTGCTGATGATGCTGATGAGGATGAGGATGAAGCTCATCATCGTCAGCACTGTGTTTGCTGTGGCTATACACACCTTTCCACTCACCATCTTCATCTTGTCAGCACTCTCATTGGAGCAACTGGTACCGTCGACCCATAGCCAAGTAAACCAAACACGAGCCCACCGCAGCACCCTTTTGCTACAGGCCTGTGCTCTTTCAGGTTGCAACCTAGTGCCGCGCTCGAACACCATGGCTCTCCTGTGGGACGTCCTTGAGGCACTCGCAGGTTTCGCTGCTGGCGCCCTCGGTGCCCTCGGCATCAAGGCTGTTGCCACGATCGCGGTTTTGGCCGCCTCGATGTGGTTGTGGCGCTACAGCACCTCAGGGTCTACGACGAGGGCAGAAAGGGCCCACATGTCCATTCTGCAGGAGCTCTTGGGGCTCATGGTGGAGGTCCGCCTCCAGGTCGCATGTGAGCATGAAGCCACGCGCGACTCGCTGCGCTTCGAAGATATGCAAGCTAGAATTCAAGCTGTGATCAACAAAGTCATGGCGAATGGCTTGCTGACGGAGAAGATGGCGATCAGGCTGGAGGCAGTGCATGCGGGGTTAGCCAAGACCTCGGTAAAGCTCCACAAAGAGATGGTGGAGGCCATTGACCTTTACCTGAAGGAGCTCAAGAAGGACGTGAACAACCAAACGGAGTCCACGGCCAAGACGCTCATGGGGGAGATCGCCAAGGGGGTGGCGAAAGGGCTGGAGAAGCTGGGAGACAAAGTTCGCGGTGACATACAGACGTGCGTGTCTGAAGCCATCGCCAGGGTCGAAAAGGAGTCTGCCAAGCTGGGAAAGTCCGTCGGAGCGCTAGGGACGGTCATGCAAGACAAATTCAACGAGGTCCTGCGCGAAGTCTGCAAGACCTACGACAAGATGATCAAGGAGCACCGCGAAACGCGGGACCTGCTGGCGTGGGTCCAACAAGAGGTGGGACAGATCAACAAGTCAGCGGATCACCTGCCCGACCGGCTGGTCATCTTACGTGACAAGCTTGATGAGGTGATCCACAATGTGGACCAGGTCAGGCAGGCCGTTGAAGCAATGGCCCCCGCAAACCGTGGAGATGGTGCCAGCGGTGGGAATTCACCACCACCCGCAGGAGGTCAAGGACAGCAGGGCCCATGGACGCCTCCGCCACAGCCCGCTCCTACGGACCCAACGCAAGGCCCCACTTTGCTGCACCTGGACTCGCAACTCCCGATGACTATGCCGAGACAAATGCCGGCCCTGACGCCAGTGACCTTGCCGGACGGTAGAGTTCTCTGCATCCCCAGAAGCGTCATTGCACAGCTTGTAGGAGGTGGCGTGTAAAGTCCCGAAATTTTGGGTGCCTGCTGCTTTTAATACCTAGGGCCCCTCACGGTACCTAGCTCCCGTGTCGTTGTTGAGGCCTGCAGTCACCCCGTCACCAAGTCATGGACGCTGCATGTTTTTTGGGAATTCTGGGCTGCACACGTCGCAGTTTTTGCGGGGTGTAGCGCCCCGGCCTACTGCATGCATGTACAATGATGAACTGATGAATTTGTGATGAATTGATTGCATGATGCCATGAATTTGTTTGCATGTTGCCTGAATGACGTGAACAACACGATGTATGCATGTGCAGCACAGCGAATTTGAGAATTCAGAATTTGAGGCATGACCAGGCCAACGAGACTGGCCGTAATGGTCCATGACAGGCCACTAGGGCACACCAAGATGCAACATGCTGCAAAATGATGGAGTGTTACGCGCTGGTCTCTTGGGTAACATGACACAGGTACAGACGCACGTGGCCCCGCTGACTACGAGGTAACATGTGTAAACGCACGAGGCCCCGTAGCTCTCAAGTCTGAGTACAACGTGTTGCAGCCGTCCGATGTCAGGTCTCTAGAGAAGGGGTGTTGTTTTGGGTAGGGTGTTGAACTGTGCTGAACTGAGACTAGGTAAGACCACGAAACCCGAAAGCTGAAGCCCCCCCCCAAAGCCCAAGCGCGACGTATCGAGCCTCATCCTGTAGTCAGCTAACCCCGTGGTCGTGGATCCCTCCCCTCCTGGAAACTCTTGAGTAATTGAAAACGCAGTCCGATGCAGGATCTGGAATGGCAGCAGAACG